CCCCCCCTGAACGCTGGGCGCCGGCGGCCCTCCCAGCAGGCCTTCAGGGGGGTGGGGACTGCCCTTGCCAGCCTCCCAAAGGCTTCCCATTGGCCACTCTGGGACCCAGAAGGCTGGGCTGAAGGCCTGACGGCTGGCATCTCCTTATGTTCACATCACGTTTTGTTTCCCAAACGGCTGTGGAGTACCCATGGGAGAGGGCTGGGTGGAGGACTCCCCTAGCCTTCACAGGGGGCCATAAGCACAATTATGGGGCCATGAATGCTGATGAGTCGCCAGAAAAGCACTGGGTAACGTGCCCCAGCAGTGGCTCCTCCTTGCCCACTCATACTGTGCGGACACCCCCATTAGTGCTCCAGAGCACCAAGGGTGTCACTCATTAACAAAAACGACCCCCCCCATGGGAGGCTGCCCCTGTCCAGAGAGCGAAAAGGGGGGCGGAGGGCATCAGGGGCTTCTCCTCTGACCTCCCTGGGTTAACAGTGGGACCCCAAAGGCAGACCCACAACTACGGGAGAGATGCCACAGACACAGCTTCCCCGGCTATTTCAAGGGGAGGGGGTAAAAAGAGCTGCTGCCCCTTCCCGCCCAAGGAGAGCTGGGCAGGGAGGGGGGCGATCTGGCCTCCAGGTGCCCTGCTTGCAAGAGGCAGAGGGTGGGAAAGAGCCGCACCCACTACCAATGGCGCCCTCCAACTGGGAGGGCAGAGGGCTCAGTTCCACCCACCTGCAGCGCAGACACAAACTGGACGGTGCTAACCAGCGCCAACCTGGCCCCGGCCGGGAAGTTGAAGCGGACGGTGTCAACAAGGTGGGCCGTGTCGATCTTGATATCCACAAAAACGTACAGCATCTTCAGGCCATGCGTGGAGTCGATGGGAACTGTAGGGAGAGGGGAGCAACATCTGCCAGCTGTCTGTCTCTACTTCTGTGCCCCCCAACGCCAAGGTTTCAACCCTGTGGGGGGTCCAGCGGAATGGCCACAGGCTGAGCAGATGAGAGCCCCTGCCACGATCTCTCTCTCCCAGTTACTTTGGGGCCTTCGGAGTCAAAAAGCAACGTGGGGAAAGAAAATGAAAGCTGGGTGCATTTTAATTATTGCACTGAGGGAGGCAGTTACAAAAAAAAAAGGAAAAAATTAGCACGTCCTTGTATTTTAAAGTGGTTGGAGCAGAGATAATTCTACCCTTCCCCCAACCCCAAAAGGGAAAGCCTCTCTCTGCAATGATGGCTGCCACATCGACATGCTGCCTCTGAGTGAGTCACTGGTCCGGTTTTCTTCCAGTGAGACGCAGCATAATTTTCACTCATCTTTACTTCAACGTGGCTGGAAATTCCTTTGCTCCTGATGTGGAAGGGTGGATGGTGCACCTCTGGGTGACCCGCCCGCGCCCTCAGACGGCCCGCCGGGAGAACAGCTCACAGAGAGGCCGAGCCTGCACACCGTGCTGGGCCAGGTGAGAACGGGGCAGGGTAGTTTGTGGCCCACCATGTCAGTGGAAGCCGGCCATGGTTTCAGATCCTGTGCAAACCGCTGTAACCTGCTGTTCGGACATTGCTTGTTACATGGATGCACCTACCACGTCCTCTTAACTCTGGTTTAGCGGGTTGTGAGACCCCAACCAACAAATAAACTTTGAATTCATAAAAAAGCTTCTGTTCTCCAAGTTGGGGGCAAACTGTGACCTCAGAGGCAGAGTCTGGGGAAACCTTGTGTGGCCACAACCACCCCCACCCCCGCGGGCTGCCAGGGAGGGCAGCATTCCTGGAGGGTTCGCCCTGCAGGACAGAAAGCGCCAGGATGCAATTCTCCACTCTTCACCCTGCTGGGACCATTTCATGTGCAGAAAAGCCCCTCCCTCCCTCCTTCCTTCTCCCCCCACGAGGCTCCCACTTGTCATGAAATTAGGCCCCGGGGGGCTGACCCTGGTGCCCTCTGGGTTGCTTGTGTGACTCGCGTGCAGGCTGGGGACGGAGGGTCCTGAGGGGGTCGAGCTTTCTGCGCCCCTGAGCATGAAGGGTCTGCCCTCACTGGTGCAAATCTCCAGAGCCCTTGACCCCGACTCCCGGCTTCCTTGACGCCAGCCTCGGCCCACACGAGCCAAAAGCCGAAGGCAAGACGCACCACCTCCAAATGCCATCCGCCGCCAGGGAGGCTTACCTCCAGCGGAAGTGGCGTGTGGGCTCTTCGTCCCCTGCCCAACCACCACGGGGCGTCTCCACAGACAGGCTCCCCTCCCTGCAGTGCCGGAGCAGCCGGAGCGCCTGCCCAGAGGTGGATGCCATTTGGCGGGGGTGAGTGGCAGCCCCCGGCCTATCGTGAGCGGGAGAGGCTCTGCTTCAGCGGCAATGCGGGGCTTGGCGGAGGACTCTCCACCCGCGCCCCCAGCAGACAGTGAGCTGGAGGACGGAAGCAGCAGCAGCAGCAGCAGCGTGCACACCCGCACGCCTGCACAGGAATGCAGCTTCTCCATCAGGGGATAATGGCGCAAAGGTGTGTCAAGAGAGAGGCGCCCAAAGCACACCTTCAGGTCCACCAACTGGGTTGCAGCTCCTTGACCTCGCGCCCCCCAGCTTACGAGATTCGGCTTGGCTCCCCCCAGCAAGGGCAGATGGTAACCCAGGGAGGGGGAGGCGGCTGGTAATACGGCCAAGCCACCTTCAACACTGACAGCTCTCCCCCCTCCCCCCAACTCTCTGATTTTGAGCCAATTCCATCCTGGGTAGACTTCAAAGTTAGCAGCATCTGGGACAGCAGCAGTTTCCATGGCAACGGAATCTGGAGTACCGCTCCGCCTAGGGAGCCGGCGGGCTGCTGCTCCCGCCCCTCCACAGCCCAGCCGGCGAGCGTGCCAGACGCAGAGGCGCTGGGAGGCCCCGGCCCTCCACGGGGCAGGGGACCCCCCTTCCATCTCCAGGGCGAGGCAGGCGGGCAGAACCCGCCTTTTGGGCCTGGATCAAGGGGCCCGAGGCCCGGGTTGCGGCAGCGGGGGGCAAGAGGTTGTATGGGGCACGGTGGACTTGGGGCACGGCGGTTCCAGTGCCCTGCAAAGAGGAGCCGGTCCGAAGGGTCCCAGATCCTTCCTGGCTCTCCCTTGGCTGGAGAGCAGCGGTGGCAGCCATTGGGAAGGGGGCACCTCCCTGTCCCACAGGACCAGGCAACTTCCTGAATACCAAACACACCCTGGTAGCTTGCAGACCGGTATTAGCAATTTCGCCAACTGCGCGGTTGTAGGAACTTCTAAATAAATGCATCTCCCTCTTTTCCAGAAAGGGCAAGCTGGAGGGCTCAGGAGGGGAGGGGGCACCTGGCCTGGCTCTCCATTCAGAGAGTCAGCCCAGTTCAGGCTGACAAGCTGCCCTTTGGGGAGATCTGGGGGCCACTGGCGTGTGGGGCCGTGGAGGGATGACCTGGTGTTTCTCCAGAGGCTGTGGGTAAGAATAAAAGGGGGCTGCTTCTCTGCCCCCTCCCCTTGAGAAGCCTACCTCCTGGTCTCCCCCCAGGCCTCGTGCTCCTTTGGGGTGGCGAGGGTGAGTGAGGTGGTGGGGTATTTCTCCCGATTCCCCCAGGGACCATGTACATACTCAGACAGCTGTGGCCGTAGTGGACAAGGAAGTCAGCTCCCAAGGCCCGTGCGGTGAAGTCATCCACGCAGCAGGCACCGTAGGTCACGTCGCCCATCACCACAGCTTCTGCGTCGGTGAACCTGCAGGAGGAAAGGTCCTGGTACCAGGCGAAGCGTGCACCCCATCCGGCTCAGCCTTCCTCCCTCCCCGATGTGGACCCTGCCGTGGCTGCGTTGCTAGCAGCCCCGCAGGCAGTCCAGCAAACCAGGTTTCCAGCCCACTTCAGCCCCAGTGCCCATCCTGCCTCCCAGCTGATAGGTGGGAGAAGGCCATCCTGCCTTACAGGAAATCCAGCACTGCGAGGAGGAGGAGGAGGAGGAGGAGGAGGAGGAGGGGGGAGGCGGCGGCAGTGGTGGCTCCCCCCCAGGGCAGTGGATGAGGGACAGCTTCAGAGGGAAGGGGCCTCTGCCCCACCCAGAAGGCCCAGCCACAGGGCAGAACCCATCCATGCTCGGTCTCAGCTGCAGGTGGAGAGATGGCTACAAAGCAACTAACCCAGAGGGCGCCAGTCCACCTCCTTGACCGAGGAAGGGTTCAGGGAATCGGGTGCTCAGCAAAATCTGTGGCTGGATTTCCAACGCCTTGTAGAAAAGCCACCAGGAAGCCACCAGCGCCCCAGTTCAGGCCTGCCCCGACCCTTCAACCTGGCCAGAAGGGAGACGAAAGCCCTGGCCGTGACGGGGAAGAGAAGGCCGGGGTTTCCTTCCCTGCCACAGCAGCTGATGTGTGTGTGTGTGTGTGCACGCGTGTCGGGGGGGGGGGTT